GGGGGGGGGGGGAATGACAAATTATTGCTAGAATGAAGAATGAACTCTGCATTTCGCTTATCTAGCAGAGTGCTCAGACTCTCTTCTCCCTCCTCCAAGTCTTGCCTTTAGTTGTTCTTTTGAAAAGCAGAGATGAGACTAAGCATTTCAGGAGTTAATGAACCTTTCATTCAGCTTTCTTAATGCAAGTGCTGATCATGCAAGACTTCCTTTGGAAGGATGATGATACAATGCCACACCTTGGGGTTTTTTTGTTTTTGTTTTTGTTTTTTTTTTTTAAGGATTGCTACTTTGCTTCAAAGAGACCATGAACAATTTAAGAGGAGAGAAAAAAACCACCAACATTTTCAAGTGTTCTGAGAACCCTAAAGAGAGGTCCTTCGGGTGCTGCCTCTGATAAGACGACTTCCACACTTTGCTTTCAGAGACGTCAACTTTTTTTTTTTTTCCTTTTCTTTTTTTAAGAACTTTAGAATGTGGTTTTCCATCCTCCCTGAGCATCTGTGGTATGGGGGAGAAAAGAGTCTCAGAAAAGAATCAAAAGCAGTAGTGGGTGCCATCTTCTGTCCTTTTGTACAAAGGGAGAGCCAACAGACAAGAACTAGGTCTCTTATTTTATTCCCATTATTTACACAGTTACTGCACCATGCTACAAGTTAACTCACAGCATCCTATTGCATGTTATTAGCTTTGCACAAACCTAGCAGAAAGGAATGTTCTGCTTACGGTTAAACCATTGTCATCAACACTATCTGAAGAACAAAACCCTTTTGTTAGAGGATGCAGTCACCATCTTTGAAAACTATATATAATTTCATTAATCTTTTCCTAATGCTTCAGATGCATGTCTTATAAAGTTCTGCTTGGTTTTCTTCCAAAGAAAATTGCAGTATATTGCAAAATAGGAAGGTCCTGTAGCAAAATATGTAGTTATTACTAAATAATCCATCAAAAATGTTTTCTAATTACGAGAACCCCGTTTCATTTCTTTGTATATAACATGTTGCAGAATTGACTCAGACAAACTCTACACAGATATATTCACAAACAAGTTTTCTGTAGTACCAAGTCAAGAAAGTTGGTGCTGTTTGGCAAGAAATTATTTGCCTCTCTGCCATTTTATGATATGACCTGACTTAAGAGGAAGCACTTGTCAACTTGCATCCTCTGCCTCCTGCTTTCATGGCCTTCTTTCCTACTGATTTAACTTTAGCTTGGAAGATGAGGCATGCAGAGTTTCTGAGAAGGTTATATGAAAAGTATCATAGAACTGAAGTTCAAAAACCCCACAGCCAAAACAAGTAAATCATGTCTGCATTAAGTTTCAGTTAATTGAAGAAATAGCCTATCACTGTAGTAAAATGCACAAGGAGGTTATCACTTCTATAGACCAACGTCCATATTTTAATCTGCTTGAACTAACATGCAGGGGCTTGCAAGAACAAGAAACTTCATGCTTTTTTTTCCCTGTGGTGAATACTGAAAAGCCATGGAGAGCAACATTCAAACAGAACTACTTTCAAATGCCCAGCTGCACATGCTGACTGCCTCAACAAAAAGGAAAAATGAATTAAGACTAGGAAGAGAAAGAAAAATATGTCGTTCTCATTGATGCCTTTGAGAACTGTTGTTTAAGACTGACTCTTTCCAGCAGCCTTAAAGTTTGTTCTTCTGGAAAAGCTGCTGATAGAGAGAGATAAAGCCCACTATTGCCAAAGTTCACCATGTAAAATGGGCACTGTGAATACTTTTGAACAGTTTAATGTTATGCGCTGTTTTTCCAGTGTGGTCCTTTGTGTAGCAAAGTATGTACAGACACAGTCTCAGCTAAGCGTAAGATTATGAACTGGTTACACTAGAACTGTATCCTTATACAGCAGATCCCACCACATCAGCTTTTGTGTTGAACCACAGCTTACTACTGCTTATATTATTCTTGTTCTGTGTGCAGAATACTAATCAGGTATTTGAGTGATGAAATAAACATCTGGTGCTAATAAATACAGTTCATTTTAAGTAGTATTGTCTTAAATGTTTCCATTTGTTTTCTAGGCATAAGAGTTCCCAGGAGCATACAAATTTATTTCCGGTGGGAATTGGCTACAGTCTCATTGAGACATTAAGGGATTACTTCAATTAGACCTTCTCTTTGCTGTTCCACTGATGACTGACAATTTCAGTAACTACACTAGCACAAAGAGGCTGTTAATTCATTTGTCTGGGCACTTAACTGTGTACATATCAACTGTGAGCACAGGTGCTGTCAGTTACTCCACTGATTCATTTCTTGGGAGTCTGTTATAAAACCTGTATTTTTATGACACCATTAGTACCAGTTTTCTTCTCGGTGAGTCTTCGTACTGAAATAGCCATCATAAGATTAAAACCCAAGTTTTTATCCTTTAGAGATTTATATCTAAGTTGTAGCACAGTCACAGAAGGAACTGCTATGATTGTAGAATGAACTGACCTCCACAACGAGTACAGAGTTAAATATAAACAGGACACTGTGTCCATGAGGCCAGGGGATTATAATTTGTCCAAAAGAAGAAAGGCAAAATTCAAGTTTTGAATGTATCACCTTTGATAGAGTAGAAAAAAACAGTTAATAATACTTTTGAACTGCTATAATTGCACCGGGACTCTCTTCAGAGTGTTGCCTCAAGAGTGGGTTCATGTTCTCAGGTACCTCATTTTACAGTTACATTGCTTCTCATTCAAAACACTAAACTGCTTCAAAACAGAAACCAGTGCAGTTAAGGACATGCTCTGGCACAGCAGCCTTCATGGGCAATTCTTTGTTTCCCTTGAAGCCTTGGCTCACATGCAGCTATAGGTTTGAAACGTAATGAAAACACAGAGCTGTTTTACTTAACTTACCTCTACTAAAACAGCCAAGAATCACACACAGTTTTATAATTAAAAGTACCATATAAATTTGAGGGAAAAAAATGAGTGTATGTGTCCCATGAATCGATTTCATGGGACACATACACAGTTTCAATTCAAAAAAATTTTCAAAATTGTTTGTAAATAATTGCCTTGATAGTCTCTTTCCCTCTATTACAGCCAATTGTTTTTTACTTAACCTTGTGTTTCTAGCACCTAAATTATTAAGAAACAAGTTATTCCTCTACTTATCCATTATGAACACAGCCCATTACAGTTTGGAATGTAGCTCCTACAGTAGGTGCAGAAGTTGTCAAAATGCATGAAAGAATGTTTAAGACATTTTAAAACTTTAATGCCAATGATCTAGTGTACAGTATGCATTTGACTTAGGAGTATAAACAACCTGTTACTTTGATTTCTTTATCTAACCTCAAAATTAAATTGACCAAACTGGCTACAGGAGTTTTAGCCAGATTTACTTACAAAATAAATCAGTAAACTTGAACCCAGAATTATTATCCTCCCCTTCCAAACTGTCAGAAAATACTGTCCACCTTCCACCAACTGAAAATTCAGCTTTAATTTACTGACCTAATGTTTGTATCTTCCCCATTCATATTTCTTACATGAAATTGCAGCAGAAATGGTGCAAAATAGCAAGACCTGTTGGAATAGGCAGAAAGGAATTCAAACTTTAATCTGATTGGTTTAATTTTTTTTTAGCAGGAGGAAAAAGAATAAAGTTACAAGATTCTTTTAATATTTTCACAATGTTAAACTAAAACTGAGCTCTAGGCTACATGTGTAAGTAAATCTAGAACACAAAAGGGTTAAATAAGATCTTCTTTTAAGATACAAGAACTTAAGCTTTCTTTACGTTTAACAAACTTCACAGAACAGATACTGCAAAGGAACAACCCCCTCCCCAACTTTTTGTTTAAAGTGAACATTGTCCATAATTCACATGAACTTTAAGTAGTGTTCTCTCAAGAGCCACCTTGAAACCATCTGTGCACTTGTAACAAGATTAAAGAGAATATAAAGGAGGAACAAAATAGCATCTTCAGTATTAATGCAGAAAAGTCTTTTGTATCAATCAGAATGCCCATCAAATGCTATAATAGGATTTTGTAGGAAAAGAAAGTGCGTATCACAGCAGCCGCCAAAATCCATGTTTTTTGAAACTCCTCACGGCAAATGTAAATAATACTCCTGGACAGCCCCTCTCACCAGGACCGTTTCCTGAAAACGCAGCACATTACAGAAAATTTTGCTGCTGGTTTCATGTTCTTGAATAACAACAACAATAAAAAATAACAAACAGCTTGCCTTTTGGACAGTTTGCATTTTTTACTGATGGGACGCTTCCGATTTGCTTCATGGTTAATTAATGCTAATACAATCAGATGCTGAGTGTGTGTGTGTGTGTGGAGAGACACATATATATTTATTTTTTTAAATTAGTTGTCTCCTTGTTAAATGCTCCTAGCTGACTACCAAAGTAACAATATATTTTGGCCTAAAAGGAGTTAGTTACCTGTAACGAGTAGAATGGAAGATGACTCATATAAGCTTACTCCCAAAGCACTGGGGTTTTTCAAGTGACACGTTACTTCACCCCTCTGATGTTTTACATCTGTCCAGTATTCCAAGATGAGACAAAAATCTTTCCTTCCCTCCAGTTTTCTTACAAATTTACCTGATTGTTAATACCTTACTAATACACTGAGAAGCTAAATTCCCTCAGGATTAAGCTGGGCCACATCGGTACAGATCCTTTTTTACCTGCATAAACCCTACGTGCAGCAGGAGACATGCCAATTACTACGTTTGCTTTTTTGCTTCCAAACTGATGAGACTGGTGCAATTCAGTTCAGCTCAGCTCAACGTGACATACTGTAATACAGAACCATAGGTCTGAACAGATCCAAAACATTCTACTCCATGTAATGCTTTTCACATTCACTTGCTTTACTTGCTTTGCAATAGATGTGGGCAGAGATTTTCATGAGAGCGTTCAGCTGCATAGAATGGGGGCTGATATAGCCCATTCGATTATCTCACTGACAGTCTGGATGTGAGGAACACAAACTCAATGTGACAAAGGGTGTTTTACTGGTTGTTCCCCAATACTGTTACTGAATTCCGTTTGCTACAAAATGTCCTTTTTTTCCCCAATATATAAGTCTAGCTACAGAAAGTCAGTCTGTAGAATCCAGCCATGGCTACTGTGCTGTGAATTAGCCTTATTTGATCAATTATCAGATACCTGCACTTAGCAAAAGGCAAACAAGAGCCAATCAGGTTTCGGCCAGTGGGAATGGCTGCACTGCTCAAGGCATGTGGAATCTGTTCACACATCTTGTAGAATCTCTGTGGATGCCATGTAAAATGTATGCACCATTTACTGCTCTGGGATGGAGTTGGCTTTGAAGTGAGATCATAATTTAACTGAGAAGAAAGACCAAAAATATAAAACAACAACAACAAAAAAAAAACCCCGATAGGTTCTTTATAGTAAGATAGATATAAAAATTTTTCATAAGAATCTCTGTCCCCCTTTCTTTTTGGCTTCCTGGGAAGAACCAGAAAGATGTTCCTACCCCAACAGAATCCCTGATGCTGGTGACACTGCCTAACTCAAAAGCCACACGCAATGAAGGCACGAGTGACCAGTCAGGTCTTCTGGGCTTAAGCAGCTGCAGTTGCTGCTCTTAGTAGTATTTCACCTCCTCAGGATTCACTAGCAGTGAAAAGGTGAAAGGCTGCACATTAAACAGTTTGTCCGAAAGCCATGTGCATAGCAAACTTTTACACCAGCTTCTATACAACTATTTGTTTTAACTCTGCAGCTGGAATGTTTCCAGCATAAGGCTTTTAGAGTGACTCCAGCAATAACAGAAGCCTTTGGATTTTTCTTGTTTTGTTTAAATCCACTAGCCATGCTCAAAAATAATATTTCTTCATGTTTTATTTTTATACGGTGGCTAGCAGGCACCTTAGTAACCAGCCAGAAATCAATTTCAACCACCATCAACCCCTAAACTACAGTACCAGGACGGTTGGCTAAAGAAAGGAAACTGATTGGCTGTAGTCTGAAACTTGCCTAGTACAAGGTGTCTGGCTGACTTTGTCCTAAATAAGGCTAACATTAGTGAACTAAGAGAACAGCATTTGGTTGCAGTCTTGCACTCAGGAACATCCTTCGCCAATGCGTTGGCAAGATCTCCCTACTTTCCGATCCAGTTTCACCATTTTCATAATGGCTTCCTCACGCCCACGTCCCATGTGGTCAAATGTGCAGTCATGTTGTTCAGGCAGGCGATGTAACATACAGAACACATAACCTACCATGGAAAGGGAGAAAAAAAATACAGTTAGGGACTTGGTCAAAGTGGCAGAATCTTACCTGAATCAGAAGTGAAGGACCACCTCCTGAGGGGTTAATTGGTTCTCAAAAATTAACACCAGCTTTAAGTTTCTATTTATCTTCCTTACAAGGCATTAATAAATATCTGATGCATCTTCTTGAGTATTTATCAACACAGTATCAAAACTCAAGTGATATTAGGTTTGGGGTTTTTTTTGCCATCCTCCCATCTTATAGAGGAAGCTCCCCAAATCATCTAAACTAGGTATGCCCACGTAGTATAAGAACTAATCTTTTTTAAAAAAAGCCGATCACCTTCACTGAAATCTTTTCCACCTTATGTGGATCTGGTTGTCATTTCTGAAATTCGTGCCTATGGTACTCCAGGTTGAGTTCCCAAGCAGCATTCAAGTCAGAACTGATAAACCTAAGCACCTTGCTTCCTCCTTACTGCCAGCACTGCAAGCTAGCAGCGACTGCAGGAGAGTTCATGGCTCCACTACTATTCCAGTTTTCAGAAGCTTCTCTTCATGAACTGTTCTGACACTAACCACAGGGGGTGAAGAGGCATTTGACACAAGGACATGTCACACCACATCATCCTGCTCTGTAGCTGAAGAGATGTAGGTTCTTGTCTCTTTGTCTAAAGCTAGTCAATGTTATTCAGTTTTCCAGGGAGCATGTGATTCAGGAACATGTGTCAATATTTTCTACTACAGGTGAGGAGGGCATCTTCAGTAGCTACCTCTTTCTAGTCTACAAAGAAAACTGGCTTTTTTCTTATTTGGCCCTAACACTTTTTAACAGTAAAGAAATTGCCTCAAATTTCCTACCTCTAAAATGAATATTACATAGTGATAAGTAGTGTTAAGATGATATAGTAGGGAAAAAAGTCACAGAGCTACAGGGTTCATGTAGTCCACTGTATATGAAACGAAGTATGATATCGCCTATGCTGCAATATTTTTCCTGCTTGATGGTGCAAACAGCATCACTCTGCTTCTCACTGAATGCTTTACATTACTGCTGCTCCTTCAATACTCAAAAGGTATTAAAACCATAAAATTATGATATCTGAGAGATGGGAAAAGATAAAAATGAGTGAATGACTGAGAGAGTGTGTATTTGTGTGTGTGTATATATATATATATATATATAAATAAATATGTGTGTAAAGTATTTCAAACTCCTGGACTATAAAACATCAATTGTAGGAGAGAACAACAGGCTAACCTTTATGTTAGTGTGATTGTTAAGAGGACAGAAAGGGACAAAGTATCACACATAGAATTATTTTTTTTAAAAAAAGTGAAGAAATATTGATTTATCTTTGCTCTTTGTTTCAATAGCACAAGCTATGAAAAGACATGTCTACTATCTGTGGCTGGCTTTGAAACCCAGTTCTAGGAACAAAACAAAAAAGACAAGTTTTCTGTATTGGTATATGTGATTCAGAAATATGGATGGAAAGATGCAGATTGAAGTGATATATATCTTGCCCCTTGTGATCACTGCCTCTACTTCAGTCTCAATGTGGGTCATACCACACTCAAACGTGACAAATATCTTTTTGGAGATGCCAAAAATCCAAGGTCTGATTGTTAAAATGAAAACACCCTTGGACTATAGTTTCAATACTGCACAGGCATTTCATTCAATTCTCTCTTACAGAGAGCGTGGACTGAAGGCTTCCCTTATTTCTTGAAATAAGACTTCAAATTACTGAACCAACATCCACTGCAGGCACAAGAATGCATAAATACCTGACTAGATGAGTTCAAAAATCAAGTTCATCACCTTACCTGCAATGGATGTGTAAGAAGCAGATGCAAGAAACCCTGCAGATACTAATTAGTCTGAAGTGATTCAGTCACTTGTAGGTCAAAACTGATTTGTAAAACCATCAGGATTTAAAACCTTCTCCACACAGTTAACAAGTATATGTAGAAATGCTATTTAATGTTATCTAAATGAGACCTTCAACATGTATACAATCTCCTACACAGCTTCAGCAAGAGCCTTTTGACAATTCTATAAATCTAATACAAAAATACATATACAACATGATTTATCAATTTTGAACATGACCCTTCAATTGACGTATCTCCTAATCTTCTACAAAGCCTCCTGCCTTTTGTACAACACTATAACTTCATGATGTTCCTTTCTACTTTGCCACCCCCCCCAATACAATGTATGTTGTGCTTTACCATACCTTTATATCCTTTCTGAAGACCTTTTAGTTCTTTTTAGAGCACCTGTTTTCATGTAGGAAAATCTGTACTGTATGCTATATTTATTCCAGATGAAACATATTCTTTTTTTTTTTTTTGTCAAGTGTTTTCTTATGCATTCTTGAACAGAATTTCAGTAACTATCCACAAAGAATGGCAGGCGATTTTCCTTTTCCCAGACTATGGAAAAAGTAATCTAATTTCAGCAACTAAATGATCTAAACCTGCTATTCATATATCTATCTAAATATGTACAGCTAATTACAACTGATAATACCTAATGAAAGAATATTCAAGACCATTTTGAACATTTACTAAAATAGTTTTGCATATATTGTCTGTTTTCATTGAATTAGCAATGGGGATCTTCTGGAAGTTTCATTTCCAAAAGAAATTTCAGCTCTTTAGTCCCATTGCTCAAAATGCCTAAGTCACATTAAAGATTGGAACTCGTATTTTTGTAGGTTTTATTTAAAATTTGAAGGACATGATTACTGTTATACTACTAGCTAGTTGAGTAACAGTAGTTCTGAACATTTTTTCATTAGTTCAGAGTGGATATATTCAATTAAATTATTACTGCTATATTCACTTCTTGCTTCACTAGTCTAGGAATCAGAGTGGACATTCTTGCGTTCTGCGTGTGCACAAATGCTTGATGTCGTATCAAGACCATCAGTTTTTACAACAGTTCCATTATTAACTTATGTGCACTAGGGCAGAAGGCCAATAGATGTACTTCTATTTTGATCCTTAAAACCAATCCATATCTAGAGGTGAAACCTTTTCTCCTGAGAACTCTGCTTTTATGGTTATAAAGCAAGTTAGATAAATGAACTCTTGTGGTGTATTTACTGTTAAGTTCATTATGGGAAGATATCAAATACAAATTGTGTCCTCTAAAGGATTTTACTGCAGAAATGCTTCTTTTAGCACACCATAACTAAAAAACAAAATAAATAACTTTATGCTAGGGAAAAGAGCATTGGAAAAGGGGATTCATCTGCCAACTAAAGTTAATTTACCCTAGCCATCAACCAAAAATATGCCAGACTTTCACTTCACGCATAGAAGATGTCAGTCTAGTAAATGTAATAATGCATCTCACAGCATTGCAATTGTTGTTTTCTGATGTTAGAAGGAAACTACGAATCACCTACTCCTCAGGCCTCTAACACAAACATTTTGGAAAAATAATATATAGTGCCTCAAAACCTCTGAGCTACTCTAAGCACCCCAGAAACTACTTCACAATATATCATTAAACATTTCCATTGGTTCCATTTCATCACCAGAGTATAAATGGCTAAAGCCATAAAGCAGTGTACCATCTGCCTTACTTGTACCCATACCGATGTATCTTTTGGATAGGACAAGCAAGAAAACATCAAAGGACATCTAAAGATCACACACAAGCAAGTGTGAAGTTGCTTTCATCATTCCTGAGGAATCTGCTGGGAAAATGCAATTGGAGAGGACAGAAAACAAAATAATCTTCCACATTCAAGACCAGAGAATACCACAGACCTACAGTTCGCTGTAGGTGGGCCATGATGAAAAATGACTGCATTTTCCTCATTGTTACATTGAAGAACACTGGCTAGATGGGTGTATGGAATGACAATAAGCAAATATTTCAACTAAAACCTAAAATTAATTCTTAACTTCGTCTTCAAATTCTGAAAACAGTAATCTGCTAAAATACAAATAAAATTATATGGGAAGCATCAGATATAATTCAACTAAACAGCATAGTAATCCACAACACAAGAAACAAATTGTAATTTTGGAAGGTCCCCGATTTCTTTTTTTTTTTTTCTTTGTGAACTCACAGAAAGCAGTCACACCTTCTGGAACATAGCACAAATGCCCAATAATTGCATTACTGCAAAATAATAATGGAGAAGCACAGCACACTGGTGGGACTACTCTAGTGGTTGTCCTTGGGTAGGCATGGAGTCCCAGACCCTTCTAAAATACTGTTGGAGAACATCACACAGTTACATAAGATATAGAATAAATGTGATCCCTGTTATGTGACTAGCACTGTGATAGAAAGTCCTTTTTCTCCCACCCTGAGATTCTGGTACTGATCTTCTTGGTAAGACATTTAGAAAACTGCTAAAAAAGAGACAGATTTGTTTGTGAGCATGTTCTGAAAAGTGGTGGAAGTGCCAAACAAGCTTATTAAATATTTATGCAGCTTACACAGTTACAGAGTGACTTGAAAACATTTAAAATTAATCCTATTTGAAACATCTTGATGTATATTACCTAAAAAGTGGTTGCATGCTGCCACAATTACCCTGATATTCAATACTTTTGTTTTTTAAGAATAGAGAGCATATTTGGACTTTGCCATACAGTGAATGTGTCATATGGTTAATATGGCAGTTCCATCTACTGAAGAAAATTGAACCTTGATTATGTAGAGGTACATGTTTGTGTTTCTAAAAGCTAAGCCATTCAAATATCATTGCTAACATGAAAAGACAAAGCCCTTCATTACCAAGTACCATCAATCATCTCAATTGTTCAGGCTAGACATTTATGTTTTCATTGTATGCAGTAACTGCTTGGGAAGTTTAGCCTTATATACGACAGTGACCCCTTCTGACCCATTCAAAGAAGCTCCCATTAGCAGGTAAAAGAGAGTGAAGTCAATACTATCATACAAAATCAGAGCTTCCAAGACTTTTAAATCATCTTACCTACCCACTAGTACTGCTATTTGTAATTTTCA